GTAATCCATCTGCAGAGCAGAAAATGAAGGAAAAGAGCTGGCAGAGAAGCCTTGTTCTATTTTTTAATGAAGAAAAAGAGCACTGACATAAAAAATGTGAAGAGAGGCAGACTCTCACACATTACGTACAGCTTTTAGTGGCTCCATCCAACTCTCACCAATGTGTTATCCTATTTTATATTTTCAATATGCTCCCCGATGGCTCCTGTTCCATAATGGCCCCAACCACTTCTATATCAGGTGTCCCAGTCTGTGTAAGTGTTGATGTCTGTTTTTAATATTTCTGTAGATCTCACCGCAAAGACCTTCCACAAAATTCCATAACATTGAGCATACTTGCTTTGGCTTAATTGGAGCATCGTGGAAAATAATCCTTCGACAGTCTAGAAATTAGATTTTACTTAGATTAATATGTTCCACAGAAGACTGAGCCTATATGTGTCTATAGATAGATGTAGAATATATCTTAATGAATATCACCCTAGAAAATCCTGCTGTCAGTTTTTTTTCCAAGTAAAATATGATATTTCTGTAGAGCCAGTGTCTATCTTTGTGGGGTTGGGGAAGAGCTAGCAATTCATCACAAGGAACCACAGAACAATCATGCAAGCACTCTCTAAAACTAATGCCAATTCAGAGAGACTAACTTTCCTAACAATCATGCTTTTGGACAATGGGAGAAAACCTGAGCAACAGAGAATTCAGGTCTGCAGTGGGAAAACATGTAAAATCCATGCACAAAGCCCAGCATTAAAAAATGTAAAGTAATCATGTCACAACCTTAAGGTGTTTGAGTTTCCATTTGTCTCAAATCCTCTAACTTAATTTAGATTCAGTCTTTTCATGACATTTATGAATGAATGTAAAGATGTCATTGGATGTCATAAGTAGACTTAATACAATTTTTGTGACATTACACAACAAATATTGTCATTCTGTACTTTTGGCAAAAAGTCTCACTGGTAGAAGAGACTATTTTGCATGGCAATAGGTAAAAAATGACTTAGATTGTACTTTTCAGTAAAACCACAGCTATAAAGGAACTTGAAATAAATCATTTCAAGACAGACTGAGTAGGGGTTTTAAATTGTTTCCATGGTCCTATTTTGATTTTGGTTGCAGAGAGTCCCGTCAAAAGTCCCACAAAGCATATCCTGGCATATTAGCCTATCTTACACTTCTGTTTTTGTTTATTAATATTTTTTTGGTGTCATTTGTCAACCAAATGACATGCTTGATTCAAAAGAATTCTATTTTTGAGTTTTCTGAAGTTAAAATTTTCACAGATCTCAAGCCTCTGAGCCAACATAAGTTTTTAATAATAGCACTGTTCTTCTGCGAAGCCATAGTTTAGCTATTTCCATGTGGAACAAGCTAAAGTTTGAATATATCATGAATCATAAATGAAGTAAGCACAAACAAAATGTGCCTGAATGAAAACGATTGAGCCATATGTGCAAGCTCTGCAACACCATGGTGCTGTCAGAAAGTTATTATTTAAAGTCTTTTCTTTTCTTAGTTTTTCTGTAGCCACATGTCATATTCCTTAAAGACTCAAAGCAACAGTCTGAGATGCCTGCAAAACTCCAGCCGCTCAGTATGAATCTCACAGGCCTTAGTCTGACAGCAGTGACAGTGTTTACATAGAGGCTCCTCAGCCAAGGCTGTAAAACTCATCTGTGGTTATTACCCCCAGGTTTCCCTCATTCACAATGTGCAAGACTTCATCATGTTTTCAACAAAGCAGACAGTCTTAGATGGCTTATTAAAAGGTTAATTTCCTGTTTTATCCTTTTCTTTCACTGGACTTAAAGTAGGAAATCACTGGCAGTCACTTTGAGTTTCCTAGAAATTTTATTTTGCCATATTACAATAGCAAACTTCAAGTTATTTAATAGAAATACATCTGCAGTCACAAGATCTTGCCGTCTATCCAATCCATACCAGAAGTGTTGTTTTCCTGATATGCTGATTATTCTTAGCCAATTTGAACAATTCAATTTAATTTCAATTCAGTTTATTTATATAGCGCCAATTCACAACACGTGTCATCTTAAGGCACTTTACAGTTCACAAGATCATACCATCAATTGATTCAGAGTTTTCTATCTAAGGAAAACCAGCTGATTGACTCGACTCATTGACTGGAATGCAATCCCGCACACTAAGCAGTAGTACAGTACATAAGCACAGAGATAAAGTTAAGGAATTGCATTGTATCGTCATCAAATAAGTGTAGCACAGTCTCTGAGATGCTAGCTGTTATATTCAGTTCAATTTAGTCTATTTAAATTGCACTAATTCACAACACAAATTCTCAAGATACTCGAGATACAGAGACAAGTCGATCAGATCATCAGACATCATACGCCCTGTATAATTCCACATCCTCCACTCCTGTTCATGTCAGGTAAATTGCAGAACTCCTCCATGTGTCCAGGAAAAAGGTAGCAGCGTCGGACTCCAGTACAAGTTCTTTGATTCTCAAAGAGGTCTTGGCGGAGCCAAGAGGACAGGGGCAGACAGAAATTGGAGTTGCTTCATATTTTGACAGTGAAGGACAGAGAGTGTGTCCATGAATGGGGGTGTTCGGATCACTCACAGAGATTGTAGAATGTTCTTATTGATTAAAATAACTACGAAGTTATGTTATGTTAACTCCGTCTTTCATTCGGGAGTGTACGTAAGCAGAGTGGAGGAAAACTGGAGAATGTGGAATTTCGGGGTGTAACAGAGAACACCAAGTGATTGCAATGAGTAATTGACTTGCAGGAGATGTTCCTCCTGGATGAGTATATGGCAACAGGGGATATTTGCTTGAATCTTGTCATTAACTACAACATTTCCATCACACTGAGCATGTGCTAGACAATGTACATGGTGTTGGACTTTGCACTCCAAAATTGGGCTGTAAGACCCCTCAATGCTCCTTGATACCATTCCACATAGACTATGGCCCGAGTCATATACCTCAAATTATAGTTCCTACCTCCTGTTCCTGGCTACTATCCCTTCACCTTTCGCATGGCCAACAGTAAGAAAACTATCCAGGGTAGTGTAAGAGTCATGATAGTGTAGTGTCTCATTAAGATACTCTAGTATTGCAATGCGCTACTGCTTCTCTGTAGAGAGCCTGGGAGACATGTGATGCAGATCGATACAGGGATGGAGGCGACCATGTGAGTTCCTTGCTTTTTAGTGACATTATGGGTTGTTTAGACTCTGCTCATATTTCAGAATATAGCAGCCGTTCAACCGGGCTTTGTAAGGTTGGTTAAGAGTGTGTTTATAAAAGGACTCTTTCAGGTTTCTAGACCTCACTGAGGGACGGGGGGGACTCCATTTGTAAGGGTTATGCAAGTGATCAAAATGCTAACTTACCCTATAAAGGGTTAAGGACCGTCCCAAACCACATAGTGGGTAGGGCAAGTGGACCAGTCAGCACTTAAATAGCGAGTCTGCATCTGTGCCTTAGAGTGACACTACCTATTGACTACCACTGGGGAAAGGTTGGGTAAGGTTATGTTAGTTTAGATTAGTTTAGGTTGGGTTAAGTTAGGTCAGGTTAGAAAACTAGAAATATTTGTTCTGTCATTCTTCTTAAAAAGGCACAACCAAAACATTACCTAGTGATGGCTGTTTGCTAACTGAAAGTACTAGTAAGGCAAGCATTAATTAGAAGCAGCTAAGAGACCCTTTGTATCTCTCAAGTAGATGTAGATGAAGATATCAACGGTACAGATGGCTATAATAAGTCTAGACTAAAGTTTGCAACAATCAATTTAAGGGGCACTACAACAAGACTCTTTGTGATGAGTGAGAAACACTCTTAATGTAAAGCTGCCAGTAGGGGACAAAGTAGCTCAGAGTTAATTGGACAAAGCATACTTTACATAAGGCTGGGGCAGAGTTTCACCATACCAAAAATGAATTTGTGACAGATGTGAAAAGTTTTCAGAGAGATAACCCCAAAATCCTTAAGCTAATTGCTAAGGGCTCGACTCAAGGCAGCTGTATACAAATTCACCGCACTTTTCAGATTTGAATTAGTAAAAGTATTTTAAACACTCACCATTTCTTTATGATTCTCTGCCACATTGTGTTTATCTATCACATCAAATTCCGCAAAACTGCATTGAAATTCGTGGCTGTGATTTGACAAAATCACAACTACGAGGTCCAAGGGGTGGGAATACATTTGCGAGGCACTTAATTCAGAACAATCCTGCTTTTTTTGTGACCTTTCAGAGTCAATCAAGACCCTAGATGGTACCACCTTCTGTTGGAAACCACACATAACACAAACATATTGTTAATTAAAAATCAGCATTTTTCCAGACTAGCTTTGCCTGTGGCCTGTGGATTTCATAGCACCGTGCCAAACAGCCCGCAAGCATTGGTGCCACTGATTAGACCCGTCTGCTAAGAAGGCAACATGATACAGAAGCTTTCTACGAGGTGAATGTGATCACAAGCTTCATATAAGATCAACATTAGTAAAACCCTGATCCCAAACTCCAGAGAAAGGTTCCAAAATATCCGCAGTCCGCAGTCTTGGATTTTGGCAATTTCTGAATAATTTACCAGAAAGTGAATAAAAACTAATAAAATCAAGAATGTAACATTATCATTTACCTTCATCAATAAAGTGTTATAAAACTATAAAAGTATGAATAATAACCTGTGGGTTTTAAATGAGTAAGAGAAGTAAAATATTGATAAATAGGAGCTTGCTTAACCTCAGTATGAACGGTTTTTAACCAGAACTTGAATTTCCAAATAGCTTCAAGCTGAATAAACACTCTGCTAATTTTAGCTGTGCTGATATAAACTGGAGCTGGATGAGGTATCAGATTGAAAATGTTCCTTATTAAAGTTGATTCTCTGCCACTCAGAGTACTGTAGTGATTTAAAGCACAAGTAAAACACACCTAGGCTGCAAAGAACAGCAAAAAAGGCATTTTATGAAAAAAATACAAAAAAACAAAGCAAAATCCCACCTGTGTCAATGAGTTCAGTCAGTGCTGTCTTAGTTGTGCACCTCCCTCAGATTCATTCTGTGTCTCCTCGCCCTCAGTGCTCCGTTTCCCTTCTTCTCCCACTGAGACTGAGGGCCTGTGCTGACTTACGACACCAGCAGCACCAGCACTGGAGCGGAGAGGTGGAGGGTGGTCCATGTACAGAAGGAGGATGATGGAGTGATTTTCCTTGTTGCTTGAACTGAACCAGTAGTCTTGGCCCTCCCCTTCTCCAATGATGTCATGTAAAGTTTAGGAGGGGATGATGGGATGGATGTTTTCACAGCAAATGAAAGTGGAATGAGTCCAAGTTAGTGCCTGATTCCATAATGTTTGTACTCAGACTCTTTTCTCTGAAACCACTAAATAAATTCCACTTCAACTAAACAGTGATTTTAGAAGATATTACTGTTCTTAACTAACTTAAAAGAGTCAACCTGTGTATTAAACCACATTAAATTCAACTGTTTTGTGAGAGCCTGTTAGAGAGCATTAAGGAGCATTAATTATATATTGAAAACCAAAAAGGAAGAAATCCTTTTTTGAAAGAAAAACCCACTTGTTAAGTAGTGTGACTCTAATCAGATCAAATCAAAACATTTTTGTCTGTAAGCATAGTGCTGAATATCCCCCATGAACAAAGCCTCTGTTCCTTGGAGCATGTTGTTGGCTGCATCATGCTGTGGGGCTACTTCCATTCAACAGGGGCAGAGAATGTGATCAGAAATGACACAGAAATCAATGACACAAAAAAAATGGAAATCCTGGAGAAAAATCTTCTGGGGGGGCTTTAAAATATGATGGCCAACAGGTGCAAACCTGCAGTAAACGATAAAATGAGCAACATAAACATGAGTGATGCAAACTCCAAAACAAGCAAGCACAAAAAACAAATGCAACTCAAGAAAATGCTGCTAACGTAAAAACAAAATTAACTGCAAACAGGTGCAAATGCGCAGCGAACGGAGAAACGAACGAGCTGCAAACACAAGTATGGTGCAAAGTACAAAATACATTTAGGTTTTTGCTTCTTTTTTAAGCAACTGTTTTTCTTATGCATTTGTTCGTGCATTAGAAAAACGCCTGCAAACAAAAAATGTTTTAAACAGTTGCTTAAAAAGGAACCTTAACAAATGCAAACACAAAATGCTGGAATCTCAGAAAACAAATAATGCAAAACAGCAGTAAAATCGTATTCACAGTCGACCACTAGAGGGGGTTAAACAAAAAAACAAACCAAATCATGCTGTTAATCTCGAATGCTGTCAGACTTTGTATTTGAAATGCAATGAGAGAAAATGAACCCTCCTTTGTTTCTTCAACTTTCTTCTTTTTTAACTGACTTTTTGTTTGTACAGCGCGACTGGTTCAATACAGTTTGTTTTTGTTCGACTCCATCTAGTGGTTTGGAGTACTTTCTTTTTGTGGAGCGAGTTTTCTGCTGTTTTTGCATCGCTTTTTTTATGTGCCTTCAGCATTTTAATTTTTGCTTGTAGTTTTATTTTTGTGGTTTCAGCATTTTTGTTTGCACTTGTTTTGTTTATTGCAGGTGTTTGCTTCTAGTTTTGTTTGTGGCATTATTCTTTGGCATTTGTTTTCCATGCTTGTGTGATTTTGAGTTTGCATCACACAGAGGTTTGCAGCCTGTTTCATCATTTACTGCACATTTACACCTGCCAGCCATTGTAGTAAAAGACCTCAGACTGTGGCGAAGCTCTTCGAATACAGACCGAAATCCTTTTGGGTTTCTAAGGTGTCACTTAAAATCAAATTTAATATTAAAGATTATGTAGAAAAGACAGGACAATAACATCAGTCTTAGGATAAGTGGAGAAAGAAAAAGGATAAGTAGCAGTTCCTGACAGTTTTCATATTTTTATTTATGAGAAAATCAATAACACTTTAAAAACATGTTGAATTTTCCTTTACAACCACCCAAACTATCCCATTGAAATTTATGTTGCTATGTAATAAAACATTAAACATTTCAAGATAAAAGTTTTTGCAAGACACTCTGACATCTATGGAGATAAATTCTTTTTTTTCTCCTGTCTTTTATAAACAAACTGATCTGTCAGCTTCACTCATCTGACTCTTTCTCACAGTCGTCTCCCTCCTCTCCACAAATCTGCTTCCTATCAGCTCTAATCTAATTCCAGCTTTATTCCTGTGATCCAGTAGCTTCGACGTGCTTTTGGAAAGGGGGGGTGTATTTAGAATGGGAACTTTTCTCTTGTGTTGACTGATTATGAGGGATGTCAGTTTCTCACAGCAGTCCAAGAGCTGTTGGCTGCTGTGTTTGTTTGGTTATGGAGACAATGTGCACAGTGCTTATCGGAACAAAAAGAACAGCCCTCAGCTAAATGTTGCAGATGGAGGAGGGAGGCACAGGCTTTGAATTTGCTGGGGGATTTCTCTGCGTGGGGGGGACGTTATTCAGCATGTAGGATGATGGTGGTTCTGATCAGCATTGTGACAGCACATTCATAATGCAGAAAGGACTGCACTCGTTTCTTATCATTCCTAAGTAGTGGCTTGTAAATCAAATCCTCCTAGTTTTGTGTTACAGTGAATGGACTAGTCCACCAACACCACATCAGTGCATGCTACTAATAGTAACATCGGATGTTATTTCTGCAAGAATGGCGTTGGAAATTGGCTTATTTGAGAAATGGATTTTCACAATAAGAACAATTTAGCTGTTAAGCTGATAAAGATTGTTTTCTCTCCATGGGCTCCTCCTTGTGGTTCAAACACTTCACTACCTAAAATCAGATGATAGCTTTTAGACAAAATAAACACTGAAATCTAAAACCTTCATAATAGAGTAAACATTTTCAGAAAACTGTAGTTCCTGCTGACTAGTACATGCTAAACTAGTAAATTTTATATCACTTTTTTATACTTCTTTTTTTTTTTTTACTTTTTGGGCTGCCTACGTAAATAAAAATAAATATGATGATAAAAACAATGATTTCTAAAGGGTTTGACAAAAGGAACTGGAACATAGATCCATGCATATGCATTCAGAAAAGTGGACCACATTAGTCCAGTTCTCAGGTCTTTACACTGGCTGCCGGTCCATCAGAGAATAGACTTTAAAGTTCTGTTGCTGGTCTATAAAGCTCTGCATGGTTTAGGCCCAAAATACATCAGTGACCTCCTGACCCAGTATGAACCTACTAGACCCCTCAGGTCATCCGGATCCGGCCTTTTATCAGTTCACAGAGTCAGAACCAGACATGGAGAGGCTGCATTCAGCTTCTATGCTCCACATGTCTGGAACAAACTCCCAGAAAGTCTCAGATCAGCTGAAACACTTAGTTTATTTAAATCCAGGCTGAAGACTCACCTGTTCTCAGCTGCATTTACGTAGATTTTATTCAAAAGTTAAAATTCGCCCGTCTCTGTATTCTCTCTTTTTAATTTTAAATGTTTTTAATTTTGAATCACGCTTTTAATTGTTTTTAATTGTTTTCTTTCCCTTTTGCTTATAATGTTTTATGTAAAGCACTTTGAATTGTTCTGTACATGAAATGTGCTATACAAATAAACTTGCCTTGCCTTGCCTTGCCTTGCCTTGCCTTCAGCCATTTAGTATTACAAATCCCATGGCCCGTTAGAGGAAGATGTGTCTTTAGAAATGAGTGACATGGCTCTCGGACCAGGGTGGCATGCATGGGGTGTCTTCAAACACATGGAAAAAAAAGAAAACTAAATAAAATCATCTGTCGGTTGTTATCTTATGCCCAACAACATTTTTTGTACATAAATCCAGATCGGGTCTGAATCAATAAGAACTGTCAGAGTTGTTTTTTCACTGACTAGATGAATAAGGTGTGTGGATTGTCTCTCATTTAAGAACTAAAATACATAAACTAAAAAAAAAAGATTATTCACAGCTCCAATCTTCTTTTAAATGTAGTATTTTTTTCAAGCCTTTCTTCAACTTATAAACATACACACCCATAAGCACCAGAAGAGACTGTAATGTTCAGCAGATTAGGACCATACTTGGCAAATGGTTGCGTCCATCAGAGGAACAGAGTTATGGAATACACTTCCAGCTGATGTTCGGAGCTGTAAAGCCTATGTTTTAAAACCTCCTTGAAACAACGGTTGAAATATAACCACACATGTTCACAAGTAAATGTATCCATTTCCATGGGTCTGTTCACCTAATCTTATTGTGATTTTATGTTTTTGGCATTTTACGTGTTTATGTCTACCCTGTTTTTTCCTGTAGCGTCCTATTTTAATGTTCACTGTTCTTACCTGCCTTAGGACAGCAGGAGCAAATTAGCTGTTGTGCTAATTCCGGCATATTTACATTGAGGCTTTAAGCTGACATGTTAATAAATGTGCATTGTCCTAATTTCCATCCATCTATTCCTTTTCCATCATGCTTATCCCTTCTGGGGTTGCAAGTGATGCTGGTGCCTATCTCCAGCTGTCAATTGGTCAGGGGCGGGCCACAGCCTAGACAGGTTGCCAGTTTATCGCAGGGCAACACAGGGACTAACAGGAAAAACAACCATTCACGCACGCACTCACACCTAAGGAGAATTTAGTGTGGACAAATAACCTATTAGGCATGTTTTTCAACTGTGGGAGGAAGAAGGAGTACCCGGAGAAAACCCACACATGCACACAGAGAACAAGCTAACTCCTGCAGAAAGACCCCGGGCTGGAAATCGAACTTTCTTGCTGCAAGACAGCAGTGCTATCCACTGGGCAGCCCTGTTCTAATTCAGATAAAATATAATAAATACAGAAATTACTTTCACAACGTCTTGGAATTAGGGCCATTTTACTGAGATGTGTTTAGAGCACAATATATGGATAATTAGTAGGCTTTTGTTGAGTTTCTTCAGCTTTTAGCAACGTAATAATGCCCCTCCGTCAAAATCATGGCCCATTTTGCTTGATTTGTGAGTGTTTAAGTAATCTTTGTGAATTATGTTGTCTGATACTTTCTTTCTTCTAGGTGGGGATTGAATAACACCAGAAGACAGCTGACAAATGAATACTCTGTAGGTCAAATATTTAATCATATGCATTCATATAGTTACATTTTAAGATAATGAACATTTGAAAACATTTATTTAGAAAAAAAAGTCTGTCTGTCTGGCTATCCATCTATCTGTGCCTTTAAAAGGGGTCAGGCTACTATGG